TATAATCACTTTCTTAACAAGAAATTGTTAATATGATAATCTCCTGGGTGCAAGTTGTCCTAACTGCTACAGTTCTATTTCTCACAATGTTTTCCTTTCTGATGATGGAGAGAAGCACAAATGTGTTAGAAAAGAGAGAAAGAAAAACAAGAGGTGTGGCATGCAAGTGAACCTTTAAGGAAGTTCTGTTTTTCTTTTTTCCTATAGCCAAGGACCCTGACATGATGCAGACTGTACAAGTCTCTGTAATCTCCCAGACTGAGTGTCAGAATGGCTATCCAGGCTACAACATCAATAATAATATGATCTGTGTGGGCATCGTGCCAGGAAGGAGGCTACCTTGCAAGGTGACATACTCACAATGCCTTAATTTTCCCATTTTCTTTCTTGTATCTTCCCAGAATACTAACCCTGTTTTCTTTTTCCTGGTAGGAAGTCTCCTCCGCCCCTGCAGTCTGCCATGGGGTACTTTATGGAATCCTGTCTTATGCAGATGGGTGCATTTTGAGAGCTGATGTTGGCATCTATACTAGTATCTTTCACTACATTCCCTGGATTAAAAATACAATTCAGAACAATTGAGTTCATGTGGCCAGAATTCTGGGCCATGTGACAGCCCGTACCCATGTCCAGCCTCACAATAAACTAAGGCACTCCTTGTGCCTTGTGCATCTGCTCATTCTGATGGACAGAGTCAGTGAGTGATTAATGTCTCAGACACAACAGCCCTTCCTCCTCTCTAAATGAAGGCAGAAAATCAAAACTCCTAGACAGTTGGAGTTTATGAAGTAGGTATTGTGTTCTCTCTAACAAATTGATAACTGATTCATTAAAAAAGGGAAAACCCCACAGTCATCTGGAGTACTAAATCCCCCACTATTTGCAGTGAATTAGAGGACATGTGCTTTTGAGGTGTTAAACACATCCATTAGGAATAGGAAGTCTGACAAGGAGTGGACTAAGTAGAAGGATGAGGGGAAAGTGTTTCAGGATGGGGACTCTGTAAGGTATTGCATTTAGTGTCTCCTTGTCCACACAATTCTCAACTCCAATCACAGAGAGATTCTAGCGATGCATTTTGTAGAATTCTGAGTGTCTACTTGATACATGAGAGGCTAATATAAAAGTTAACTGGAAGCTTATGACATAGAGGACAATGAAGAAGTTCAGGACCAATTTTCCTTACACATGTTTCCTTTTTATATTATGCCAACTTCCTAGAGAACTTCCTTCCTTCTCCTTCTTTCCTTCATTCCCTTTTTACCTCACCCTTGCATCTTCACTTACCACCAAAGACTTTTTACTGATAGTTTTACATAGAGTTCGTTTGGCTAGTTGACTGAAGATTTAAAAAGAAGAAAAACTAGATTTAGACAGTCTGTGGTCCAGCTGGAAGAAAAAGAAAATTTCTCTCAGAAATCCCAAGTTCCAGCAGTAAATCTTGTCTTCTCGAGAGTTGTAAAATCTCTAAGCCAGCTAAGTCTAGATTGGAGTACACAGAAGCAAGATTTTATATATGAAATATTAAGTGGAATTATGAAAGCATCATCTCCACAAATTGTGTTAACTTATTTTTTAGTTTTTTTGGAAGAAATGAATGGTTTTTAACTCATTTTTCAGAATAGTACTTCAGCCTCTGAAGATGTTTCTCAGCTTTAGCTGGTGCAAAGATTTCAACAATCATACGAATGCTGTGTAAGGTGAGCTAATTCTGACCGGCAAAATATATAGGGAGGTCCCTGAATCCCACAGACATGGACTGCATCCATGGGTCCCACCATAAGCACTGGGAGGTGATTTCCTTGGTTGGAGAATACATTCCTGTTTCCTGGAATGCATAGACATTCAGGTAATCTGAGCTTGACGGTACTAGGTCAGTGAGAATGGCAAGGAAAAGAAAATCCAAATCCAGAATACATCATTTTCAGGGAGGACAAGAAGTTACTCTTCTGTGATGAAAGAGACCTATCACTATCACCTGGCAAGTAGGGCACTAAAGGTACAGTGGACTCAGGTTGGTTGTTGACAGCAGGTCTGTAAGGGTGGTGGTAAACAGGTTGGGCTTGCATAGGATCATGCTGTTCAGCCACCACCATGCTCCATTTGGCTCCATTTTCCACCTTGTATCTGAATCCCCTAAAAAAGCATTTAGAAGCATGAGGAAGGAATTCAGAGAAGCCTAGCTTGTCCACTTGATTATCAAAATCTCCTGAAGTAAGCTATTTTAGTGATAATTCTTATAGGACACAATTATTCTCCTGAGTTAATCCTAAAAATGTTTACTTCATTACGTAACTATTCCCAAAGAGTTCATCCCCATTTCTCCCATATTGCTCCTTCTTAACACCTATCAGAACAGAGCACTAGGCACTCTCAAGAAATTTGTATAAATCTTAACTCCAAGAAAGAGAACAACCAGATAAGTTGATTGAACTTCTGTCTCTTGAAAAGAATTCCACTCTCTTTTCATCAGGGCATCCTCCAAAGGAGTTTTCCTTTACAGTAGTACATGTGTTAGTGGTACTGATATATCAAACATAGCCACATATAAACCAGCTACTCAACATCATTAATAATCAAAGAAATTCAAGTCAAAGCCATTATGAGATGTCACTTTGCACCTATTAAAATTACTACTGTCTTAGTTACTTTCTCATTATGGGGAAAAAATACTCAACACCCACAAGTTAAAAGAAGAAAGCTTTATTTTAGCTCACAGTTGGTAGAGCTTTCAGTTCATAGTTGGCTAGCTGCAGGGCAAGGTGGCATGGCAGAGGGGCATCACAGAGAAAAAACAGTCTGTGCCAGAGCAGGCAGAAAGCAGTGAGGCAGTAAGCCTCCCTTCCCCTTTAACCCTATCCAGGCTACAACGGTTACACACACCCACAATTATGTTAAACCAATCAGTGACCTAATTTTGTTATCACACCCTTAATCTATAGTCACAGGCCCTAGATCCAGCCACACCCGAAAAGCTCCACCTATGAGCATGTGAGGCTCTGAGACATCCAGACACAAGCCATAACAGCTGACTAATAAATATTTCCATGCTTTTATCAAATCCTCAACTGGTCTCTCTGTGTACCCTAAATTTTCATTCTGCTCTTGAGGGCAGGTTATGAGTGAGTGGGTCTGAAGTCATGGTGGGTAGAAGGTTAAAGAAAACATGTAGACATTGAGAATGGTTTTTGTAGTCCATTTTAATTTGCATTTCCTGCTGTAGAAGTGTGTGTCCATGTGTGTAAACATGTGTGTGAGAGAAAGGGGGGGGAGTGGGATTGCAAGGCAGACAGGGTTAGGGAAGTACAGAAAATGGGCATTAGGTCAAAGAGCAGCTGGAGAGATCGCAACGTGCAGCCAACACCACATATCTTGGGTGACCTTGTTCTGTTAGATGTGGCAGGAGGCCCTTTTTCAAGGTCTGAGTTTCTGATCCCTCTGCTTTGTGGCCTAGACTCACCTCACTCTGGGGAAGGAATCCTTGTGCTTGGACAGTACAAAGAGTATTCCAAAAAGAAAGACTGAGGGTCATGTGGAAGACTGTCTTTTTCCACAGCTCACAGTGTTTGAGGAAAGATCTAGGACATGGAACCATGGACAAGGGCAGTGACACCCAAGTTAGCCTGCCCACGCCCAGGCTGAGCCCAACCAGTGTCACAGCCAGGTGATTGTCAGTTCTGGAGATCATCCTTTAGGAAGGGAAAGGTGAGGCGGGATGACAGGTCAGAGGCCTAGGAAAGGGAGGGAAAAGTAGAACAGGAGCCTTGTTGAGTAGCTAGATCTTCCAACTAACAGGGTAAGCTGTGGAGAATTTGGGGTAATGGTGTCCCCTGCTGGAAGGAATCCTCACTTACCCTAAGGGATGAGGAAACCTCTCTACCAGGATCTCTGCCTACATCTCACATCACCACCCGAGAGATAGAGGAGATGCCTTTCACGGCCCATGCAGCCACCTCCCGCCTTGCATCCCAGTAGTCGGCCTATCGGTGGAAGAAAAGGCTCTGAGGTAGAAGCAGTGGGTCAGCTGTGGTATGGTCAGCTCTCTTCCTCTTCCTTTTCTCCCTCCATCTCTCCTCCTCTCCCTCCTTCCCTCCCTCCTTTCCTTCCCCCTTGGTCTTGCTATCATTCAGAACTTACCACTTGGTTTCCAGCTATTTGCCTGGGGTCAAAGCCTTCTTTTTCTGCCCCTTAATGATGGTACTCAGGCTGCAGATCCAGTTCTGGCCCTTGGGCTTTTTAGTTGAGTATTTGCTGAGCCCTCCACTACAGATTCCAGACCCTGCTGCTTTCTGAGGATCTTGCCTTTGTAAAGACTGCATTGAAATTGGGGAGTGAGAAGTGGACATGGGTGTGGCGATGAGAATATGATGAAAAAAATAGGTGTTTACAAATAGGGGCTGGTGGGGATGGGTTACACATTCACCAACTCAGCCCTGCCCTTTCCGGAGCTCCCAGCATTTCTCTGGGTTTCTTCTCAGCCTGCCTGTGGGGACTGAGATTGGGCCTAAATTGCACCATGATTCTTACATACGCGAACCGTAGAGAGGGCAAGTGATAGTTTTCTGTGTCCCTCTGCACTCTGCATCAAAATAAAAGCTTCACCTAAATTTCACTGCTCAATCCTTGAAGCAGACTTCTGAGCAAGGTAGAGTTGCTGTCTGCATGTTGCAGACACCTTGACAGGTTTGGGAGGAAAGAGACTTCTCCAAAGCTCACGCATAGCAGAACCAAGGTGTGCACTCCCGTCCTGCAGAAGCTGGGTTAAACGGCTGTGCTGTTCAGGGAGAAAAAAGCAAATGGGAAATTGGCAGAGAGAGGAGCTGCTCGAGGTCAGGGTAAGAAGGCAGGGTCTGTCTGGGGAGGAAGCAGGCTTGGGAGGGCTGCTGGGGCAGAGGAGGATGGGTGGGAACCAGGAGAGTCTGTGCCTGTGGTGTTTATTCAAATACCCTAGCAGGGCTTCTCACTGTGTCTTTACTGCAGGTGCAGGAGAGGGTTCTGCCCTAGGTCACATTGGCCGCCCGAAGCCTCAGCTCTGTGTCACTGACCCGAGTGGCCAGGTAATCTGCCCCAGGAAGGGAGATGGTCTTCTCGTCCCCAGGAGTCCACAGGGTGACCAGAAACTGCAGTTGCTGCTGGAGATCTTGTTGGTACCAGCTCATCCAGGGGTACTGAGAATTCCTCAGGATGCAACGGAGAGTCTCTTCCTGTCCAGCCTGCACCAGGGCCCACCTGGGCCTTTGCTCCACCAGGCTGGCTGTGGCATCTGAAACACATAGGCCAGCCAAGGTGCTGGTAGACAGCATGCTTGCCCTCTGGCGTAACTAACTGAGCTAAGTCCAGAAGAGAGGATCTTTGAGGTACTGGGATAGAAGGCTGCTGAGAGCAGAAGGGACACTTGACCTTGGTGAGCTACTGTGCCTGGGGTAACTGAGGCAAGGCTGGGATTAGACGGGCACCTTCTCTGCCTGTGGTTCTCCAGTGACCCATGCCCCGTCCTTCCCTCACCCCACTGCTTGGCTTCCTCTCCCTGCCACTGACCTCCACTCAGGGCAGCCAGTACCATCCAACCATACAGAATGGGAAAGGGCCCCATTCCCTGGCCCCTCAAGTTCTCTCTCACAGGGTGTGGGACAGGCTGGACGGGCTGGAGAGCAGGATCCCGACCTGAAAGGTGCCAGTTAGAGGCTGACAGCTCTATGGGTCCCACGCTCAAAAGGGCGTAGATTCCTCAGGAAACTGAATATCTTGTCTCATCTTCTCCCTGAAACACAAACCTCAAACCACAGGTTTGCCTGCTTTCCTGCTGTCTGAGCTCCAGGGAGCAGGCCCGTTCCCAGCCGCACCCCCCTACACATTCACAAAGTGTCTCAGTGAACTGGCTTGACCCTGCACCCTTTCAACTATGACCCAGATATTCCTGGAACTGGTCTGAATCTGAGCCTCGGATCTTTGCAAGGGGTAAAAATATCTTAATGCTACCAAGTGATGCTTACAACATTGAACAAATACACTGCTAGTGGAAGATAATGCAGGGCCACACTGGACAGTACACACTGGACATTTACTTCCAGTTGTCAGTGTCTGACTCTGTGAAGGTGAATCGACATTGAAAACAGGCTTCCATTTTCCTGTACACAATAAGGGAAAAGACTCCTCCCTCCTTTAGCCTCCATTTTCTTACTTAATTTAGCAAACTGGGAATAGTAGGTTTTTTCTGTCTCTGGAAATATATGTGAATCTTTTAAAAAGCGAAATAATCAGTCACTTGCTAGCTTTAAAATTCAGCAATGCATTTTTCTCAAGTACCTGGAACCTTTTCTTGGAAATGTAATCCTCAGGAAAGATAGCACCCCTGTCTCCATTTCTAAGGGAACCTCACTTCGGAGTCTACCTTCACTTAGGGAAGAGCCCAATTTAGAGACCCCACTCAATACCTTGCACCAAGTTGCAAAATTACCCTTTGTTACAAAGATATGCTTTTATTTTCTTTGGATAAAGCCCGCTAGCAAACTCCTGTCACCCAATTGCCACATGCATCTAGAATGAACTATGCGGGACAAATGGTGCTGTTCACTCCTCTTCCTGGGGACGGATTACTTCATCTTGAGAATATGCATGTGATGAGCGGTATCGACTTGGCTTCGTGATAGGATGAGAGTCACGAGAGTTTGTCTTTCCAGTCTCTCGTGAGTGATCCAGACTGATGGATATTACATTCTACTTTATTCAGTATTAAAGCTATTTTCTTTTTCTTTTACTTCTGTGGAGATTTTTTTATTATTTTAAATAATATTTAACTATAAAACATATTCACTGATTTATTAAATATGTTGATTATATTTTGTTGGCTTATAGTAAATCATTTTCAACTGTATCAGCTTTAATTATACTTTCCAACAACTCCTCGTACTGTCAACCTCATAGGGTGACATTTTCCCTCAGCTGCTTCTTCTGTGAAATGAAGACAATATTGAAAACTATTTCATAAAGATGAATGACTCAAATCATGAAAAAGTTCATAGAATGGATCTTGGCACAGGCTAAGCACTCAATAAAAATTTGCTTTTATTATTGCAATGGCAAATTTACAGATCAATTAAACATGACAAAATTAGCAGTAACATTTGTCTTCAATTACCTATCATATAGCATTCAACTGAGATGAAAAGGACAGGTTTCCATGACTTTTTAGCATCGGTAAGAGGCTTATTTTTTTCAGTTTGGGAACTAGTAATCTGGGAAGTTGGAGTTAAAAATTCCTGTACCTATCATCTCTCCAACCTCAGCATTTTGCAGACAACAACATGGAGAGACAGACTAGTTTAGCAACAGAACTTTACTATTTTAAGACCTGGGACTGCTCTGTGTTCACATTGGTGTCTGCCCCCTGATAGACACTGGATAAATGCAAAGGGGAACTGGACTGGGCCAGAACTCAGACCCATCTCCCTTAGGAATCCTCAGAGAAGGGCAGAGCAACAGCTTGCATCCAGGTTGGAAGCTGGAGGAGAGCTCAGGAGCAGAGCTTCCCGGGGTCTGCAGTCCCAGGCTCCCCGCTCTTCAGGGAGTTCCCTGCTTCCTCCCTGAGGACAGGGCTCTGGCCAGCCAGACAGCTTGCAGGATAAGGGATCCTGAGCCCTTCTCCATTTACAGTGCTGGCTATCCTGGCTCCTCTGTGCTTCCTCTTGAGCCTAATCCTCAAGTGAGATTGGGATCAGAGTGTCTCCGACACTCCTGTTATCTCCCTCTCGGGCACTCACTCCTGCTCCTCAAGGTCACCGTGCCTCCTTGGTTCTGCATTGTCCAGTCTTGGCCGGCTCCCCATCCGGGACCCTGGTAAGCTTCTTGCTTCCAGATGGCTGCCGAGCTTTCACTTTCTCTGCCAGTGCCAAAGTTGGAGGTTGTGGCTGCCCCTTTGAACATTGTTCCCCTTCTCATTCTTCCAATTACTGCTCAAGTTCTCACCGCAGCAGCAAACAGCCTCACCAGCTTTGGATCTGGGTGGGTAATTCAGACTAGGCAGGTGCTGAGTGCACGGATTAAGCAGCTCACTGGCATCTCTCCACTCACCTGGAGCTGGATTCAGGTGGTAGATGTCCTTGCTCTGCTGGGGAAGCCCTCAGGGCACATGTCTTCTCCATTGTGTAAGGAGGACTGGCAACTGGGGCCACAGGAGGTAGTTGACAGCCCTGATGAGCTGTTTCAGCTACCAGAAGGAGGTCAGTGTGAAATTAGAGCTAGACCAGTTCTTCCCTAAGAAGTCACTAAATGGCACCAGGCCCTCCACCAGGCCATGGCAGGGTAGAAAAGCATGCAGGGGTCTGTGGCCCTGCAGGTGTTGGTGACTTCCAGAAATCATGGAAAGAGTGATCACAGGCAGGACCACTGAGCTCTCCTGTCATCTCTGCCACTGACACAGAGGGTGATCACACATTCCTCATGTGACTCCCTGGGGCTCCCATTTTCTTATCTGAAAACAAAACAGGTAGGAGTTTTTAGAAGATAAAGTGGACCTAGTGTTTCTATTCTGTTATTCTAATATCCCTTTTGTGCTTTTACTATTTTATGTAAGAATGATGTGCTTGCAAGTGAAATCAGATGAAGCCTGCAGGGGAATGTCACTAAAATATGAATTCTCTGAAAGCAACTCATGGAAGGAAATGTCAAGCACAAAGTATCCAAAATGCAAATTCAGGTCTGTTCCTTCTTTTCTCCCTCTTTTTCCTCTCACTTCTTCCTCTTCTTGTTCCTCCCAGGAATGTTCTGAAAAACCAAAGCTACTCAAGACTTGCCCATCTGGAAAGCTGATTATAGCTGTTTCACCTCTAGGTGTCCTTCCTGGAATTAGTAGCAAAGATTCCTGCGGAGATGGAAATCAGCTTCCCCCAATCCCTCCCAACAACTGCTTTCCTTTCTACACTTGGAGGTTGAAAGGCTGGGTTTATATGCAGTTCTGCCTCCTCTGCTTGTACCTCCATTCTACACACAGACAAAATGGGAAACACACATATAAATGGGTGAAGGGCATATGCCAGAGGCAGAATACTCAGTAGGGATATTTCAGAGTGCAGGGGATGGGATGGGGATGCAGAGGGAAGGAAAGAGAGGCAGGGAGAAACTGAAAAACCCTTGGACTCTTTGGAGTCTCCAGGGGCAGGACACTGGCCTGGAGTTGGAATGGGAAGTCAGAATGATGTGCTCCTGATCATTTCCTGCTATGACCCTGATCTCAAGTGAAAGAAACCTGCTCTGTACCCTCTGTCCCCTGTACAACTCCAGTTATGTAAGTGGCACCATTCTAAATCCAGAGGATAATCAGATCAGAAGAGCCCTAGCTTCTTGTCCCTCCCCATGACCTGGGACCTGGAACAAGCAGAGACACATATAAGCCCAGAGCTCTTGAGTGTCCATCTGCAGGAAAGATGCCCTGGGACCCAGGAGCCATGGCCTGTATCCATCTCTTAAAGTTCTTCCTGCTTCTGGCCCTCACAGCCACCTCCCAAGGCAAACACCTTGGCCCCACATCTCACCTGCGTTACTCCAGATTCATAGATCCTTCCAATGCCATTTTCCTGCGCTGGGACTTTGACCTTAAGGCTGAGGCCATCGTTTTTGAGCTCCAGGTTCAAACTGCTGGCTGGGTAGGTGTGGGCATTGCAAATCGCTACACCGTTGTGGGAGGTGACCTGGTCGTTGGAGGAGTCCTGCCTGATGGCAATGTCTATTTCTCGGTAAGTCTGAGGATGACTCCCTTCCAAGGATGAGGTCCTCTGTCGGGTAGAGTATTTCTTCATTTCCATAGAGGATCCGCATTCTCCAAACACACCCAAGCACACTCCAGGAACTCCAGCTGAGTGCTGACCTCTCCTTACAGAAATGGTCCAACAATGGTTTGTGACCTCTCTTCCAGACCACATGTCTCCAATCTGCTAAGAGAATGGGACCTTCAGACTGTCCCACTGACTTGCGAACAGCACACTAAATGCAGCTCACTGGAGAAAATTCAAAGCTGTTGGAGACACAGTCTCCATCCTCAGTTTTCTTTAAGGTCAGTCAGGTGAACTACAACCTGATATCATCCAAAAACAGCAGCAGCCACAGGAGCAGCAGTATCAATAGCTTAAAATTGTGATAAACTTTTCAAAAACTTGGCATTGTCCCCAATTTTTTGAATTCTAGACCTCATAGGATCAACCTGAAGTAGATTATTATTACTTGCATTTTGCAGGTGAAGAAATAATTCAACCATCTCTCTATCTTACCCATTCTCAGTTCCTAATCACTATTCTGAACTGCACTTAAATAGGGAAATGTCAGTCAAAAGTACAAGGTCATATTATGTTAAGAGCCACACTGGAAAGAATGAATGGCAAGACCATCCAGAAATTAAGTGAGCTTCCAAGGGCTGGGGATGCAGGAACATTAGGATTGATAGAGATAAGATTTGAAATGCCAGGCCAAGAAGTGGAATTCCATCGGACATGGTCCATTTTCCCATGTGGTGCCCTAGGAGGAAATTACATAATAAAGCAAATCTCAGTCTTGCCACTTTACTATCCTAAAGAGACAGTTTCTGTCTTCATGCATGATCTCTTGTGCTCCTTGTTCTTACTGGACCTCCACTGGGCCCCAGGATCAGCACCTTGTGGATGAAGACACTCTAGAGGAGGATGGGAGCCAGGATGCTGAGCTGCTGGGGCTAACAGAAGATGCTGCCTATACTACCATGCGCTTTTCTAGGCCTTTCCGCTCCTGCGATCCTCATGACCAGGACATTACAGTAAAATAGGGAGGGGAGAAAAGCACTTAGTCCCAGCAACTTTTCCTTCTGGGGAAGTGGAGTTACCTCCAGTTACCCAGCCAGTCACAGCTCCTGGGACTTTCATCTCTCTCAGCCCTCTCAAGTACTGCCCTTAAATTGTGCCACCTCTTGAAATCTACAAACCTTCCACAGGGCGACCCCTAAGGATTCAGTGCTCACTCCAGCCTCCTTTTCCTGAAAAGCCCTGCCTAATTGCATTGCGTTGAAGGTGTTGGGATTTCAATGTGTGGCTCAACTCATTTTACAGTAAGGACACAGGCAGAGAGAGAGAGTGTGTGTGAGAAAGCGTGGAATTTGCTGGGATTACTAGCACGTTAGCTTTGGATGCAGGACTAGAACCAGACTAGTTCTGCCTCCAGTCTAAAGATCTTCCCTTTCCACTGTGTAGACATGAGTGGCTGGTGTAGGGCCTTGGATGCAGGTGTGTGCAAAGCACCACTCACGGGTGGCATCCCTCACTGCCCATGGCACCCCCAGAGTGACACGATTCGAGTCCTGACTGCCTATGGCCTGGATGACATGCTAAAGCTGAGGCGGGAGCGCACTTTTGTCAAGTCCATCTTCCTGCTACAAATATTCCACCCTGAGGATCTGGATTTCCCCGAGGACACCATGGTCCATGACTTGGAGATCACTGATGTAAGACCTTCCCACTCACCCACCGGCCTCCAGCAGACGCCCTCCTGTTGCACCCAGTTACTTTGACTCCCCTCACTCCTAATATAGCCCTAAAATGAACCCTCAAAAGCAGGGGACCCCAAGTCCATCCCACTAAGCTTCTCTGCACCTTCCCCCAGTTCCTCATTCCAGAGGTCGATACCACCTACGCCTGCACCTTTCTGCCTCTCCCCATCGTCAGCGAGAAGCATCACATCTTCAAGGTACACGAAGCAGAGGGGCTGACAAGGTGGGGAGCTCTGGAGCAGAAGAGAGGGCATGTTGGGCTCTAAAGGATGGTGCTCAGAAAACGGCTGGAAGGTAGCCGGGAAGTAGCTGGGGAGGGAGGAGCCAGGTGGGAGTTTGGTAGGGGTGGGAGTTATACAATTTCTACAGCCTAGAACTATAACTACTGGTGGTATTTTATGCAAGCTTCACTATGCAGCAGGAAGTTTTTGGACAGAGGTTACTGGTTAATTAGTGTTTGCATTATCTATTATACCTTTTAGTCCTTATTTATACTTTCAGTTTCTCACACCAGAGAAACTATTCAGTATTTACACATGCGTGTCCTATTTATTTCACTTAAGAGTATGGCCTCAATGTGCATCCACTTAGCTATAAATGTTTCTAATTTCTCGTCTTTTTATGGCTGAGTAGTACTCCATTTCATAAAAAAAACCACATGTGAAATAGGAAGAAAAGGGGCAAAGGGGAAGGGGAAAGGAAAGAAGGGAATGGAATTAATATGAGAAAATGAAAAAATGGAAACAAAGTCTTTGTAAATAGGGAGGGCAGGGGAAGGGGGGAAAATAAGAACCAAGAGAGACTATGTAAAGGTGCAAATTTCCAATGATGAATGTCATTATATTGTACACCTAAAATGTACCAATAGAATAAAATTTTTAAAAAATAAGTGCTTGCAAAGAACAAAGTCTGAGCCCCACTCTGGCCACAGCATTGTGCTCTCTTAGCCCACAAGGAGATAAAGGCAGGGAGGGGACACGGCCGTAAGCTGCCAAGAAGGGGCAAGCTCTGGCTACAGTGAACTCCGACTTGGCCATTTCATTTCATAGTTGAGTAATTTCAATTTTGCCCAACTACATAAAAATGTCATCTTATAGTAAGCCCCAAATGTTTAACAGCCAACTTATTTTTTAAGAAAGAGAATCCATGTGTGTGTGACACATGCACAAAGGTCATGAAATAATCGAAGTTCCTATGTCAGGCTGCTTGGAATGTCCCAGGGTAGATTCAGCACTGTGTAAATTGTTTCAGGTAAGAGGTTTTAAGGAGTGGGAGTTAAAATAAGAGTCAAACAGAGCCAGGCAAAATGGTAGCTTGTGGAAAAGAAACAGACAGGAAATAGAAGAGACAGAAATGAAGAGAAGTGGGAAATGGCATGGTTTTATTTGGGAAAGGGATGGGAGAATGAGGAATTGACATAGGAAACCTAGACTCCACCCTGTCCTCTTTATCCTGTCCAGTTTGAGCCCAAGTTGACAGACCACAACGAGACCATGGTGCACCACATCCTGGTGTATGCCTGCGGCAATGCCAGCACCCTCCCCAAGGGGATCAGCGAATGCTACGGATTCGACCCTGCCTTCTCCCTCTGTTCACAGATTATCGTGGGCTGGGCTGTCGGGGGCCTTGTGAGTTCCACAATGGGGGACAGTGTGTGGCAAGGGGGTAACCACTGCTGGGCAGTGGGATTGCTGCACTGATGGAAAACTGGAAGATAAGGAAGGTCTGGGGTGAAGGGTAGAAAACCAGAGGAAGAGGCCTGGATCTCCACACCCAGCTCCCAGCCCTTCTGTCTGCCAAATCTCTCTCTTCCCATCAGAGTTACCAGTTTCCAGATGAAGTGGGCATCTCTATAGGGACCCCCTTGGACCCTCAATGGATCCGCCTGGAGGTTCACTACAGTAATTTCCACAACCTACCTGGTGAGCACACAGCGGACTCACAGGAGGGCACTCAGTCAAGGCAGCTGGTTCCTAGCTGTTGGGGCCACGTTACAGAATTCATGCAAATCTTGTTAATCACAACCCGCCCTACCCAGACTTCCTGAGCCTCTTCCCTCTACATTGTAACCTGCTTTCCTGCCCTCTGAAGACATTGTTTGGTTTTTCTGTTGTTTTATTTTGTTTTGTCTGTTTTTGTTTGTTTGTTTGTTTTCCCATTCCAGGTGTGTATGACTCCTCAGGGATTCGATTGTACTACACCACTCGTCTGCGGAAATACGATATGGGTGTCCTCCAGTTGGGCGTACTGACTTTCCCCATCCATTTCCTACCCCCGGGTGCTGAGTCCTTCATGTCTTATGGGCTGTGTAAGACAGAGAAGTTTGAAGAGGTGAAGCTGGTAGACACACCTTCCCGGAGGTTCCTTGTTCCTCATCACAGTTCCATCTGATCCTCAAGCCTGCGCAGGCTGAGCCCCACCCTTAGAAAATGATTGTAGCTTGATGCTCAGGAAAATGATTCTCACATGATTCATGCAAGAGAGGAAAGGATTCACAGCTTTGGGGCAGAGGAGTGCAGTAGGCAGGAGGGTCAGGAGGGTTCGATAAGAAAGAAGAATAAATGTA